GAGGAAGAAGAAGAAGAAGAAGAAGAAGAAGAAGAAGAAGAAGAAGAAGAAGAAGAAGAAGAAGAAGAAGAAGAAGAAGAAGAAGAAGAAGAAGAAGAAGAAGAAGAAGAAGAAGAAGAAGAGAAAGAGAGAGAGGGAGAAAGGAAGGAAGGAAGGAAGGAAGGAAGGAAGGAAGGAAGGAAGGAAGGAAGGAAGGAAGGAAGGAAGGAAGGAAGGAAGGAAGGAAGGAAGGAAGGAAAAAGGAAGGGGAGGAGGAGGTAGGAAGGAGAAAGAACTGGTCCATGGCATGCCAGAAACCAGTCCATGCAAACAAGCATAACCCCATCGTCTCTCCATGGAACTGGTCCTGCTGCCCAAAGATTTGGAGGCTGCCAATCTATCTATGTGGTTGCTAACAGTCAACATGTATTTGATGGCACATAATTGATATTTCATGTTGTTTCATGGCACATAAAATGTTTTGAATTCAAAATGCTGCACTTTCAAATGCCCCACTTCAACTGGGTTAAAAAAAATAGAAAGTAAAAGATCTATGGATATTCTTCATGGTTGACCCACTGGACTTTTTCCCCCAAAACAATTTGATTTTCCACTTTTTAAAACATTTCACTCGTCATCCAAGAAGCTTCCTGAGAATGGAAGAAACTTCTTGGATGGGAAGTGAAACATTTTCAAAGGAACCAAGAAAGTCCAGTTGCCTTTTTTTGGGGGGGAAAAGCACCTTTGGGACCAGGTTCTAAAGAAAGGCATCTGGCTGAATCTCTGCCCTGGTATTTCTGAAACTGGTGATATCTCTCCAACTTTGAACGAGATGGTGGTGTGTTTCCATACTCCTCCACTGTCTTCTTAAGCTTTTAAAGGTGAAAGAAGGGACTGTGATAGGTATGAAGAAGAATCAAGAATAGCCTGTTTTCCAACCTCAAGCAGAAAACCTCCAGCAGTTTTCTTACTCCACTAGGAGTATTCTGAGCTCAAAACACTCCTAGTAAAATCAGAAAAACCTTGAAACCTTCTCTGTGTTCAATAACGGAATATTAAAGGGAGATTTGGTCAATTATTATGGTTGAGGAAACCATTTAAATAAGCTATGAAAAGCAAAGTAGGAACAGGTAAGGAAAATGGCAGGTGTTTAAACAATCTGTCAGCCTTGGAAGCCATTTTTTTACTTGGAAGCTCAGAGGCTGCCACATTAAGTGCCTGGGAATTTGGGAGTGGGGAAAACCTAGAAGTATCATGGAAGAAGAAACATATACAGAGGATCAGTCGACCAGGTAAAAGTCATTATACCCAGAGAAACAGGAACATGTTGGCTCACAAGGTTACGACACTGGGTTGGAGGTTAGCAAGCCTGGTTCAACTCCCATCACCCACTCTCAGCCTTAGAAGCCATATTTTATTTGGAAGCTCAGAGGCTGCCACATTAAATGCCTGGGAATTGGGGAGGGGGGAATTCATAGAGTGGTGGAAGACTAAACAACAACATTCTTTTCTCAGAGAGTCAAGGATATGTTTCCCTGCACCCGGAGGGGAGTGTCTGGAGGAAAGTCTCCAGTTGGGACGAAGATCTGGTTGGGCCACGTGAAGGACTGATGGGTGCAGGAGATGGATCTTTGATTTCTCTTTTGAGAAGGGAAAACCCAGAACTCTCAGATTCGGGTTTTCCCAGATGTGCCAATATGACAACTCAAATAAAATGGAAATTTGAGGGATTGTTTGTCTCGGAATTTAATGGTTTGGAGTTGGTTAGTTAGCGCTGACACAACCACTGTTTTAATAACTGTCCCTTAATAAATGGATATATTGCTCAAAAATTTATAGAATAGCTTTGTCAATTTCTATGCTACAATTCTACTTCCCTGCAAACTTTTGCAATCTCAGTTTTAGAGAGAGGATGGGACTTCAGTCTCACCCACATGACAAAGCTTCACAATTTATGGGTAACTCCTAACAGTGGGATTCAGCAAACTAACTCTCTGCAGTCTTTGTCTGGGAATGCTGAGATATTTAAAAACAAAAATATAAACCGAAAGCTCAGCTACCCAGAAGCTATAAAAGGGAACCTCTTCTGTTGTTGAAATGATTGAAATCTGTGGATTTTCACAGAGCCTCTACCTCTAGAAACGGTTTTGCGGCCTAATATATGGAAGTTTTCCAAAGCAGCAGGCAGCTCATTTTTTATAATCTGGCCTTTACTGTGGCCAAGAATTCATCAGTAGCAAAACAGGGCAGTATATAAAAAAAGAAGAGCTGTATATTTCCTCATTCTACATTCACTTTAGATAAAACTCAGCCTCTTTGAATGACATCATTAAAATGCTCTAACTTGGTGTCCCCATAGTAGGAAATACACAAATCGTAGTGGTGCTCAAACTATCAGGCTTCAAGCTGCATTCAGCGCAAAACTTCACATCCTGTTCTCTTTCCAAGGCATCTTTTATGCTCAAAAAAATGTGAGAAAACCCCAAAGCCCATTTGGCCTACAAAACAGGACACGCTGTGAAGTTTACAGCTCAAACTCATTTGTAATTAAATGTGTTGCAGACCATCTCTTGCAGATAATGGGGATGGTGGTCGATCCTTGGCAAGTTGGGAAATGCATAAATTAAATATGTAGCCTGCAGTCGCTCACCTGCAATAGTGAAATCGCAATGAAGACGCCTGCGATGATATAAATATTTCTGGGTAGCCAGGCTTCCAGGGCAGCGATGCAGCCCCTCGTATAGATTCGTTCCTCCCAATTCGATAAAGACTAGAAAAAGAAATGGAGATGGGTGAGATGCAGGACCCAAAACAAGATCAAGGCTTGGATGGAGACCCACCAGACAATATTCCAGAACATGAGGAGTTTTTAATTGTATTTATTTAGATTATTTTTGTTTTTTGGTTGTTTGGTAGGTTAGTTGGTTGGTAGGTTAGTTAGTTGGTTGGTAGGTAGGTTAGTTGATTGGTAGTTTAGTTGGTTGGTGGGTGGGTGGGTTGGTTGATTGGTAGGTTAGTTGGTTGGTTGGTTGGTAGGTAGGTAGGTTGATAGGTAGGTAGGTAGGTAGGTAGGTTGGTTAGTTGATTGGTAGTTTAGTTGGTTGGTTGGTGGGTGGGTTGGTTGGTTGGTTGATTGGTAGGTAGGTTAATTGGTTAGTTGGTAGGTAAGTAGGTTGGCTGGTAGGGAGTGATCTGAAAGATAGCTTAATCCTTACAGGGCATCCAAAGCTCTAAACAAAATGGGGATTTATCCCAGTTCTGAGAATCACAAGGTTCAAGGAACAAATCTGTTAAAGCACAAAGAAACCACCCCATACCAGCATGGAGGTAAAAAGTCTTCCATACTTTAGAGCCGCGGTGGCACAGTGGTTAGAGTGCAGTACTGCAAGCTACTTCTGCTTTCTGCTGGCTGCCTGTAATTCGGTGGTTTGAATCTCACCGGGCTCAAGGTTGACTCAGCCTTCCGTCCTTCCAAGGTCAGTAAAATGAGAACCCAGATTGTTGGGGGCAAGAGGCTAACTCTGTAAACCTTAAGTCTGTGCTGAAGCCAAATGACTGAAAGATCTACCCATTGGCCAAGGTGTTGGTGATTTGGGAAAGTCTACTAAAATGGAACTGCAGATATCAAATCAATGCCTTTCCTACATGGGAATTAACATATTTCATTGGCTAATCATTTGCTTTATTCTCCCCCCCCCCCCCAAGATCTTCTATCTTCTACAGCAGAGGTCCTCAATCCCTGGTCCATAGACCGGCCCTGGTCCGTGGCATGCTAGAAACTGGTCCACTCAAATAAGCAAAGCCCCATTGGTGGGATGCAGGCAGCACATGAAACCATGCTCCTCCCAGTCCACGGAAAAACCTCCACTCTACAGAACTGGTCCCCGGCACCCAAACATTTGGGGGCCACTGTTCTACAGAACCCTGCGATGATGAAAGGATGTGAGCAATGATGGAAGGGAGAATGAGGAAACACTCACCATATTTCTGATGTCGTAGCCACACTGGGTGTTCACCACATTTTGCTAAAGAGAGAGAAGAAAAGGAGTTGATGTAACTTTTCATAACACTTTTGGGGAGAAATCTATTTTGCCTTTCCGCCAAAGATTCTCCATGAGACCCTTTTTGCTCTCATTTTCCGACAGAGCGATCATCCTGTGATTGTTGGATACAGTGACCAGATCAAAATTGTCCTAATTTTGGATAACAGCACTCCAATATGTGACGGGTTGTCACAGAGAAGAGCGGGTCAAGCTATTCTCCAAAGCCCCTGAAGGCAGGACAAGAAGTAATGGATGGAAACTCATCAAGGAGAGAAGCAACCTGGAATTAAGGAGGAACTTCCTAACAGTGGGGACAATTAACCAGTGGAACAGAAGTTGCCTTCAGAAGTTGTAGGTGCTCCAACACTGGAGGTTTTTAAGAAAAGACTGGACAGCTACCTGTCTGAAAAATGTATAGGGTCTCCTGCTTGAGTAGACAGTTGGACTAGAACCTTGGAGGTCTTTTAATCCAACCCCCTGCTCAGGCAGGATACCCTATATCATTCTGGACAAATGGTTGCCCAGTCTCACCTTAAAACCTCCAGTGTTAGAGCATCCACAACCTCTGGAGGCAAGTTGTTCCACTAGTTAATTGTCCTCACTATCAGGAAATTCCTCCTTAGCTCTAGGTTGCTTCTCTCCTTGATTAGTTTCCACCCGTTGTTTCTTGTCCTGCCCTCAGGGGCTTTGGAGAGTAAGTTGGGATAAGAAGACAAGAAGTAGCTCACCGCAGGATCCTGGATACAACAGGAAAAGGGGACTCCACATCTTTCCCGACTTTTGCTCACACTGCTACAGTTGAAATAAATGTTGAGGTTCCAGTCATTTGGACCCTGAGCACCACAGCATTGGTTCTGCAAGAGAGAGAACAAAAGAGAGAAAATGCATTTGAGCATCTGAACCAGTTGTTATACCGGCAGCATCCCACCCCTGGATATATATGTATTGTTAATTTTATATTTGTAATATACAGGGTTGTTTTGTTTTCCTTTTTTGTGTCTTGTTTTGTAATAAGTCACCATGGGTGAATAGGCGGCAATATAAATTCAATAAATGAATTTTGTAATTCTGTGTCTTGTGTTGTAATAAGTTGCCATGGGTGAATAGATGGATAAATTCAATAAATAAAATAAATAAATACATTCTTTTTTTTTAATTCTGTATTTCGTATTTTTATCTTTGGTAAAAAATAAAATGAAGGAAGGAAGGAAGGAAGGAAGGAAGGAAGGAAGGAAGGAAGGAAGGAAGGAAGGAAGAGGGGAGGGAGGAGGGAGAAAGAGGGAGAAAGAAAGAAAAAGAGAGAGAGGAAAAAAAAGAAAGAAAAGGGAGAGCATTCATTCCTGGCTCCATAATTTAAAACAAAACATGGTTTAGATCAGCCATGTTTAACTCAACAACTTACCATTTTTTGCAATGAATCAATGATGTTCTGCAAGTCAATGTCATCTCTGTAGGCCTTAATGTTGTTTTTGAAGAAAGTCTCTACTCGGTCTTTCACCCAGTCCTGGAATAAGAATGCCAGAACAGCCAAGGCCAACTCCAGAATGAAAATGAGCACAATGGTCCCACAGAACTACAGCAAGGGAAGAAGGGATGGAGAGGGGGGGGGGAGGGAGGGAGGGAGGGAGAGAGAGAGAGAAAGAGAAAGAGAAAGAGAAAGAGAAAGAGAGAAACAACCAATTTTAGGAAGAAGAAGAATGCTTCCATCAAAAACAGAAGAAAGCCTTTCTGTTGAGGGATCCCCGGTGCTCTCTGAACTTGATTGCAGATGTTTCATTGCTCAAACTAGTAACATCATCGGGACTAGTCATTATCGTGAACATCAACCTAGTTTACCTAGTTGGGGTCATGAAATGTCCACAAGAAGACAAGCAAGCTCAGAGAGCTCCAAGGATCCCTCATTTCAACTCTGAACTACAAATATTCTCCTTTATTGGGAATCCAGTTGGTTTTCAACAGTGCTCCAGGGAATGCAAGCTGATCTTTTAGGTTTAGGAGGTCATCAACAATTTAACTGGAAGATTATTCCATGGAATTGGCCAACCGCATGGAAAACACCAACTGCTCCAATTACATGAGATAATGTAGATAATTCCCAACTGTGATCTATCTGGCTGTTCCCCATGATTATCCAAGAGAACTTTTGAGTTTGGCTCCTGACGTTATAGATGGAAAAGGTTCCCCCAAAGTCAGAAAGTCTGAAAATCCTTGAAACAGGTCAAGACTTTTCCTGCAGAAAAAAGGTGTCTGCCTATTTTCACAAGGAAAATAAAAATTCGCCACACCCCAGCAAAACCTCCTGGATGGTGGCATCAACTAAGATCGCAGGCTTTGCTTGTAGCAATGTTCAAATTCTATCAAGATACTGTGCCATAATTTGCAGCCTTTGACAATGAATAAGGAAAGCTAGATAGAGAAAATGGTTTCTTTGAAAAAAATGGGAGCAGGAGAACAGTGGTTAGCAATATCACTTATGTCAGATTGATTTGAGCCACAAGACAAACAAAGAGAGAAACTGAACCTTTGAAGCTCCTTACCATTCTTTTTGTTTGTTTGTTTGTTTCTTCTACCTAGCAGTTCCTCAGCAATTAATGTGAATCCCAAAGAGGCAATATAGTTATGATATTGCATTGGGATTACAACCCACAGTATTCCCAAAAGCATGACCCAAAGCTGAGTAGTCTGGAAACTACTTTGAGAAAGTCGTGTTCAATGAAAGGCAACGAAAATGTGAATTTTCTAATGCGTTGTTCTGAATTTTCCAATTAAGTGACAGCCTTTCAGTAACGCTGTTAGAACTGGGATGCAAAGAAATAAATGGCCACTAGATGGTAGGAATGTTGCTCCCATCTGATGTTGGTTTGGATTTTTGGATAGGTAGTCCAGTTCTGCCTAAACGGTTCTTCCCCCGACAAAAATATACCAGAATCCAGCAACTTACAAATTTCAAAAGGCAAATATTTTCACGCAGGGCTCCCACGCAGCCAGCAAACCCCAGAATGAACATCACCCCTCCGACGAACAAGATAAGGACCACAGGATCAAAGCCATGCAAGCGTGTCATCTTTGACAGGTCAGACAGCACACCCTAAAACGGAACACAAACGAACGAGGATGAAATCCTGCTGAAGCTTCATGGGTTTCAAAAAATGCAGACATTCCCAACAAGAATCCAGAGTACCGTGAGCATGCCAGAGTTCTACAAAAGTACAGAAAATGTTTAGCCTTTTGACCACAAGTGCAAAGTCCTATTTTCCAAGAGTCTCACTTCATTTACTCTCCTTAAATAGGTTTATGAGGATATAGCAGAGGATGCAAAATGGAGGGGGGAAATGGCAGGATGGGTGGCCAAAAATTGTATAGTTGAATGAACGAATCAGTCAATCAATCAATCCACCATCAATCCTATGAATTGCCCCCTTCAAAAAAATCACCAATCTCTTTGTAACATGTACCAGCTTTGTATAATCAAACAGTCTGCAGATACCTTCTATTTCAATGTCAGAATTCACACTAGCTATGAAATAGCTTGTTGAGAATTTGGTTAGCTGGAAATGAAAAAATGGTGGAATCAGACTAAGAAGGTGGTAGGTGACCTTTCTGGAGAAACCAGTTTGAATCTCAAATACTGAACTACTAGGCTAAAAAATAAAAGGATATTTGTGTATACGGTCTTTCATTCTGACCATAAGTCAACCTCAGAAAAGACCAAATGAAATTTTCCTTCCTTCCTTCCTTCCTTCCTTCCTTCCTTCCTTCCTTCCTTCCTTCCTTCCTTCCTTCCCTTTTTTCCTCCTCCTCTTGTTCCTCCTCCTCCATCATCCATTTCACAAACAACATTTCTTAGCAAACGACTGTTGCAAATCCAAGGAAACTTTTCCCTTTCTGGGATTGTATTAGGGGTATGAAAGAATTCTTATTACACTAAAAAGTTCGTTTGTATTTATTAAACAAATTTGTATAGCCCTCCATCTCTCCCAAAGCAACTCTGGGCTTACCGATGCTCATTTTACTGTTGGCTTGCAAATGAATCCAATTCTGTAATGGACAAATAGAAAATCTGACTAAGAATGCTCAAATGAAGGGCTAATGCGAGATTTTTAAATGGGCAAATGGATTTTCAGAATAAACAAGGAGAGAAAAAGAAAATGCCACTTGCCAAGATGCTGTTCCCAAAAGGAATGCGTTTTAACACTTTCCTTAGGCAAGCGGGCAGATCGTATTTGCTTCAATATTTTAAACCTTTGGTCCAACAAAATGCAACTTAAAATTTACTTTGGATTTTGAAGTGGGATTTTAACTGGTAATAATTATTCGCCATGCACCCTTTAAAAACCACAGTGCAATTCTATTTCCATTGAGATTTTTTTTAAAAAAAAATCTTTTCAGTGACTTGTTGTGGCCCACCAGCGGTCAGCAGAGCTGACCACAGATTCAGACAGTGAGGAGGTTGGGGAGGAACATGGGCCAGTCCTGGAGTCTGGGGAAGGATCTGACAAGGGCTCTGCATCAGAGGCAAGATGGGGCCAGGGCCATCCGACAGTTATCAGCTGCCTTCAGAGTCGGAGATCAGTGGGACAGAAGAACAGCTGGAGCCTGTTCCCAGGGTGCGCATGTGCAGAGTTGCCAGAAGAAAGCAGGGGTGGGATTCAATTTTTTTAACAACTGGTTCTGTGGGCGTGGCTTAAGTAATGGGTGTGGCTTGGTGGTCATGTGACTGGGTGGACATGGCTTGGTGGTCATGTTATTGGCTGGGTGTGGCCAACTCAATATCACTCACATCGAGGCACGCATCTCCTGGCCTGGCGTCTCAAGACTGTGGGATGCTGCAACAGTCGTAAGTGTGAAAAAAGGTCATAAGTCGCTTTTTTCAGTGCCATTGTAACTTTGAATGGTCACTCCACACAAGCAAAGTACCAGCAAAGGAGGGGAAAAAAACTCCAGAGATGGTCCTGAGACAGGAAGTCTAGTCCTGCCAAGAATGTAATAAGGGTTAACGGAGAGGCAGTTTCTGTAAGCAACACCAGAATGTTTCCTTCCTGCCTTCCTTACAGGATTAGGCCAGTAATTTCTTCTAACAACCGGTTCTCCAAACTGCTTAGAATGTTAACAACCGGTTCTAGCGAATAGGTGCAAATTGGTACAATCCCACCCCTGGAAGAATGGAACAGTTAAGGAACAAGGGTCAATTCAGGAGTAAAGGCTCAGGTGGACAGGGAATGGCCCCTCCCATAGGGAATAAAGAGGAGTGAAAGGGGAGTGTGGTTTGCAGGAGACAATCTGTTCCTGACTTCTTGCCAAGGAATTGCTGCTACAGCATGGTGTTTGGAAGATATCAGCCTGGCAACTGTCCAAGCCTGATAAAGGTCTGTAGTTGTGAAATCTCTTGAAAGACTGTTGGCTGGGACTTTGCGGAGAGGAATTCAATTTAACCTAAATAAAAGGGGTTTTATTGGGATGAGGAGTCGGCTTCGTGCTGTTGGGGAAGCCTAGGTCACAACATCACTTTCCAAAAAGACACACACACACAAAGAGAAATTATCTCACATAATTCTCTAAATTCTGCACAATGATGTTTTCCCAGAAGCAAATTTACTGGAAATTGGGTCCCACTAATAAATCCCAGAGAGCTCAAACAGGGCTCCAGCTTTTTGATCAGTGTATCCTTGAGGACAAACCAAGGGTATCACTGGCCAAGGAGCCTCTGAAAGGCCAGACCATCTGAGGAGGAGGAAATAGAAGAAGCCTCCACTAGATGGAACAAACGAGCTGAAAATGGCACAGAGTGGCTTTATGGCTGTTTGGGGCAGGGTTTGGTGGTGGTTGCTGCAGCCGTTTCCTGCTTCCATGACAACAAAGCCAAAATAGCTGTTCACTTACTTGACGGCTGTTTATTAACTAGCACTTCTCAACAAAGAAGCCGTCAGTTCTCTAGAGTGGCTTCTTTGTTTTTAGACACCATCAAAAGCAATCATAAAACCCCTCAGTTAGAAAGAGCTGGTTGAGCTAAGACTACAGAAACAACCGAGGGAAGGATGGTGAAGGCGGCAGAATGGCGGGAATGAACTGACTTGTTTGATATGGAGAGGGGGACACAATATATACTCCAAAGAAGATGAAACGTCACTTTAAGTTTCTTTTCTTTCTCTTCATTTTCTATTGTTTTCAACTCCTTCCTTCTTTCCTTCCTTTCCCTTCCCATTCTATAGTTTCATGTTGATCTGTTAACTTTTTGAAGTTTCTTTTCTGTCTCTTCATTTTCTATTGTTTTCAACTCCTTCCTTCCCCACTCCCTCCCTTCCTTTTCTCTATTTTCATGTTGATCTTTTAACTTTGGGTATTTATCCACCTGTGTGTGTACATGTGTCTGTGTGCATAAAAGAATAAGTAGTGTTTGAGCACACTACTCACTGCAAAAACTACTTGGTACAGGAAACAGCCTAGACAAAGTTAGTCACCCTAGTCAGCTTTCAGCTTGAACACACCCAGTGAATAGAGACTACACCTGAGAAGCTTTTGGTACCACCCAAGTGGAATCACCTTCTTCTGTATATGCCATTTCAAGTGTTTGAAGACCATGACCATGTTCTTCCTTAGTCTTCTCAAGGCTAAACATTCCCAACTCATGTATATCTTTAGAGAAGTTGGTTTCTAGTCCTCTTGATGAACCAAACTGTCTTTCTTTGTCTCTGAACCTTCACTGGTTTTTCTTCCACTTTCACATCTTGGAAGGTGTGACTAGACACCCAGCCACTCTATATTGGCCTACACACAACCCCCAGAGAACATTCAGAAATGTATTTATTCACTTGCTAACATCAACAAACTTTGGAAGAAAGTATATTGCAGCGTCCAGGTGAAAGGCGAAGACCCTAAAAATTGTTTAACTGCTTTGTAGGAAAGTTAATCATGAAGGACATATTCTTGGCAACTGGTGGTTTCTTTGTTGTCATTGTTGTTTGTTTGTTTGTTTGTTTGTTTAAATAATTGCACCAGCTATAAAATCAGGGGAAAGTGCTGGCAAAGGAAAAAGGAAATGGGAATTGCACAGTCAAACCTAAGCATGCATGGAATTCTGTGATGGAGCATCCAAAACTCCAGAAGTCAAACTGTTCCATTGATTATGCCAGACTTTTATTGCCTCTTTGATGAAGTGATTAAATTAAAGAATCGGGGAAAAACAGTGGATATAGTTTCCTTGGACTTCAGTATAAAGTAATGGCTCTTTGGCATTCTATCTATTTTTCAAATGGAGGGTTTGAAAACATTTTTCAAAAACTATCTTCAGTGCCTACGAAGTACTTCAGCCAAGGCACTCTAATTTACATTCTGTTGGCTTCAGATCACATCACAATAGGTATCCTTTGTGAATGCAGTGGTTCAACAAAGGACACAAATTGGCACGAAAAACATGCTTCTGAATTTAATGGAGAGTAGAATAACTGAAGTTAGAAGTTATATGTGCAAAGAATGTGGGCTTGAAAACATGAGCCTACTCCGGTTTACTCAGAGGCCGTGTTTAATGAAACCCACTTCTAGGAAAACATGAAGTTCAAACCCTTAAGAGTAGCTACTCCTGAACTTAGCTGGGCTTCTTTTTGAGACATTTATAGAGTTAAGACTAAACTCTTCATTCCTGAATGAAGAAGTGATTTCACACCAATGAATAAAATCCACATGGAGATACATTTTGTTATGTGTTCCTTTATTTACTAGTCTTTGTAATCTAGCTCTCTAAAGATAGACAGGTCATCTTTCTGTACTGAGAAGAGATTAGATCCTACGAAGGAACTCATCTGCTTACTTTTTCACTCCATGCCCAAAGACCAGCTCCAAGAAATGCAACACCAGCTAACTGAAAAAGAAAAAGAAAAGCATAGGTATTATTTTGTGCAACCAATACAGAACAGTCAGAAAACACCAGATACAGAAGAATCAACAAATTCATGTGTAAAAGCTTCTCCATGTGATTTTTCTGTAAACGTTTTAGGTCTATGATGCATGTTGTTGGGGGAGAATCTGCCTTAGCAAATTTGCACAAACAAGATCCATGCTGGATATGAGTTGTCTAATAAAGAGATAATGCAACCATTGCATGCTGGATAACTTGGCTCAAACATGTCCATTTCCAACAGTGGTGACAAATAACCAATATCCATACTGGGGGTTAGAAGGAAAAGGATGTAAATAAAACTCACCATGTTATAAAAATTGTACAAAGCTAGAGTGTGGGATATTCTTGGCAACCAATCTCAGAAAGGCTACTCAGCTGTATGAAAACAAGCAAGAGAAGAGAAGCAACAGAAGTGAAGCAAGAGAAGAAAAGCAAGAGAAGTGAAACAAAAGAAGAGAAGTGAAACAAAAGAAGAGAAGTGAAACAAAAGAAGAGAAGCAAGAGAAGCGAGTAGCAGGGCTGTATTACTATTATCCTTCTCGTCTTTCCTATTACTTTCTTCTACAGTATTAGTATCTTATGGTTTATCGCTTTGCTGCTTGTATGTACACCAGGAACTTCTGCATGGAATCAAACTCCTTGTGTGCCCAATCACACTTGGCCAATAAAGAATATTCTAATTCTAATTCTATCCAAAAGGAGAGTGAAGCTTGCTAATTGCAAATATGTGGGAAGGAAGGAAGATGGGCAAGGTTTTTTGCACCAAATGAGAGTCATGCAAGGAAATGGTGACATTAAAAAAAGAAACATCAGATCAGCTAAAAAAAATGAAGGAGAACAAGGACTCCATCTGGTAGTTGAAGGCACAGGAAGAGAGGGAAGTCTCTGGGATGAGATAACAGATCCTCCCGAGTCAATTCGTCTGCTATCTTTTGTTGTTTTTGTTGTTTAACAAAGACCATTCTCACTTTCCAAAGGCTGGGGAGACAGCTGAGCTAGCAAGTTCACGTGGCCTTCCTGAGCCCTCTTACTTGCTGACTCCACAAGACTATTGGGAAAGAGAAACTCTGCAAGTAAGCTATCAGCATGGCTTGTCCAAGCCTACATCTGGTCAAGCTGCCTGTGTCAGCCTTCAAGATCTTCTACCTTTGCTTTGCATCTTTCGGCTGCCATAAGTAATGGGGGGAGGGGGGGAAGTATGGGAAGCGAGCTGGAGGTATTACAAACTAGTATTGTATAAACTGAGGAGGGGGGAGAGTACATTCTTGCTTAGGTTTCTATTTCTTGCTTAGCTTTTTCTTCTCTGCGCAGCTGCAAACCTTTATCAAAGTATGCCAAGGTCAACGGACAGAAACTTCATCACCACCTGAAGATATCCACATGATGATATTCACAACTTCTAATTGGAAGAACCATATGATTGGGGGTGGGAACATTTCCATGAAGAGAAAAAATTGAGTAGCTGGTGGCAAAATTGTGTGGACCAGTCGAAGAAGTAATCTATACTTTTACCCCCTGCAAAAAATAATAAAAATACATCCTTTGATTCCAAAATCAATTTGTTGAGGAGTGTGTTAAATTAGACCATTCTACCTCACATCCTTGTTTTCTGTAGAAGATAATTTTCTTATCTATTCCACCATATAAGAGGAATAAACATAAGAGTCTACGGAAGGGAAAGCAACACGATAGAAAACAGCAAATGGGGAAAAAGAGAGGGGGGAGGAAGGGAGGGGGAGAGAGAGAGGGAGGGGAAATAATACAGACAGATGATAGGTAGGTGAGTAGATAGGTAGGCAGACAGGCAGACAGACAAACAAACAAACAACCACGCAGACAGATGTACCTTCAGATAGGACTGGGAACTCTTGCATTAAAACCTATTTCCCCTGCTAACCAGAGTAGATGCAGTCCATCTTTTATTTTTCCATCACACTGGTACATGTTCCACCCCCCACCCCCACCCCCCGTCTGTTCAAAGGAAGTTTATTTTGAGCTCAAAAACAATCAGCACAGCTGGGTACCATTTCTGCTAATTCGCTGTTGCATAAATTCAGAGAGGAAAACAAAGTTTCCATGCGAAAAAATATTTAACAGTAATTTGAGAGAGGGGAGGGAGGGAGGGAGAGATTCAGAATTGGAGCTAAGATTAGGGAAATTTGGGATCAAATAGAGTATTAAAATGATAAATCATTATTGTGGCTATTTTGGAATCAGACACAATGCTCCAGAGGAAGACCGTCATAAATTAAATTAAATGCCAGTTTTTTATGTTCCTATTGCGTTTCTATATAAGATAACAATGGATAGAAATTAAGCTAGGAAAAAAGCAACCTAGAACTACGAAGGGATTTCCTAACGGTGAGCTTGCCACCATAACCCATGGAATAGCTTGCCTTCAGAAGTTGGGTGCTCCATCACTGAAGGCTTTCAAGAAGAGACTGGTGGACAGCCTTGGGATCAGATAGGAACTCCTGCTTGAGCAGAGGGGTTGGACTAGAAGACCTCAGAGGTCCCTTCCAGTTCTATCACTTTATGTTTTATGTTCTTAAGCATGACAAAATGACCCTTAAAAGCCATCCAGCTGCTCTGCAAGATTTCTTACCTTCTATTCGTTTCTCCGTTTTGAGCAAGCATGTCTAGAAATGGAACCGATTTTTATTTTAGCTCTGAAGAGTATCTTAGTTTAGGACATCATGAACATGTAGAAGAAAAGAACAGAATTCTAATTTCCTTTCCAAGCAAGGAAATCAAATTTTCTATTTATTACCAAGAGAGAAATGTGACAAGATAGGGTACAATAATTTCTGGCTCTTTTTTTAAGTCTAATTATAGTCTTTCATCAGCTGAAAGGATGCCTTCTCAAGATCCAACTGGCTGAGGACCAGAATGCATTCAATGTTTCTGCTTCATCAAATGGACACGGCTGCTGTTTTCCTGCTAACAGTTGTTTCTTGAGAGTACATGCATAATAGTTTGGTTTTGCTTCGCCTGTGAAGATAACCACATCCTTCCTATTCTGTCTAGATGCACCTAGAGTACTGCATCCAGTTTGGGTCACCACACTATAAAGAAGATGATGAGGTTCTAGAAAGAGTGCAGAGAAGAGCAACCAGGATGATTAGGGGCCTGGAGGATAAAACATATGAAGAACGGTTGCTGGAACTGGGTACGTCTAGCTTAATGAAAAGAAGGACTAGCAGGTGACATGATAGCAGTCTTCTAATATTTGAGGGGCTACCACAGAGAGGAGGAGGGGGTCGAGCTATTCTCCAAGGCACCTGAAGGCCAGACAAGGAACAACGGATGGAAACTGATCAAGGAGAAATTCAACCTGGAAATAAGGAGGAATTTTCTGACAGTAAGAACAGTAAGAACAATAAGAACCAATGGAACAGAAGTTGCCTTCAGAAGTTATGGGTGCTCCATCACTGGAGCTGGACAGCCACTTGTCAGAAATGGTATATGGTCTCTTGGCTTGAGCAGAAAGCTGGACTAGAAGACTTCCAAGGTCCCTTCCAATTCTGCGATTCTGCATCTCGTTCTGTCCTGAAGTCTCTGAGATGTCTTCAGGAGGACCTTCCAGGTTATTGAATGGTAGAAAAAGGTTCATTGCTGAATCAAACCCATAGCCAACTCAGATGTATGTGATTCATACATGGACAATGTTGCGTGCCTCAGCCATTTTTTTAAGGATATAAATTTTTTGAAAGGATGGAGCAACCCTTCCCTACAGAGCTCTGTTCAAATCGTGCACCTTGATCTGGGAGTTTTGGATGTTTCGGTAAGGCATTTGAAAATAATGAAGTTCTCCACTTCTCCTTTTATGCAACTCAATGATGCAAATCATGAAGCTGGTTCACAGAGACATAAAAAGCCATCCATCCAGCCCTACCTAGTTACAGAGGGACGGGAAAACCTGCTTCTGTCTCCCAGTGCAATAGATCTCACATTTGATCAGATTCTTGACTGATTTAGAGTGACAACAGTTTGTTCTCAAAAGTCTTTCTGATCACCTGCTGTCTGATTATTCAAGTAGGAAAGAGGTCATCCCAAAGTGTAAGGTTGGTATCATCAATACTTCCAATGATACCCAATATATCCATCAATCCAGACCAGCCAATGAGGCTGTCAATATTCTGACTCGGAGGCGGTGAAGGCCTTAATCTTATCAGGGCTGAGTGGGTGTAAATATTATGGCATTCTGGATCTGGGAATATTCCATCTTTAATCTTGGATGGGGTTCCAATTTTTCATTCAAGGTGTATAACCTGAGAAAGACTTCCAGGACTCACAGTTCAATCAGCAGATGACATCTTTGCATAACTTTATTTGGTTCACCAACAGTACAATTTCCTGGATCAGGAGCCCATCATTGAATCACTCATGCCCTGATCCGCTTCAACTATTGCAATGCACTCTACACTGGGATTCCCTTGAGAGACCCCCACAGAAGCTAGAGCAGGCTCAACAGAATGCAACAGCCAACACTCAAAAGAAAAAGGGAAATTATGAAGCAATTTGAAGATGACAGCAATGTAGGCTGAAGACCCAAGGTTATGCACATAAATTTATCTTTTCCGATTACAGACTGGCTTGAAGATAAGGACCAAGTTCCAGCATTAAATCTTAAAACTATAGTGAGATGTGCAGAAGACAGTCTATTCCTCTGGATATCCTTAATCAAGTTCCACGAATGGGGATTAAAGGCAATTAACTTAGTCAGATAAAAGCACTGGAAGATATTTAGGCCAACAGAAGGTTAACAGTTACTTTACTAAATTGGTGTGGGTTTATAAGAGACTTTTTTTTAATCATTCAGCAATTGCTCCCTAATAAGCCACAAACATCTGCTGCAATAATTGATCACCCAATTTTTACATCTGAGGTTGCACCTAAACCAAGACTTAAAAATGCTTCACAAAGCAGAGATTTTTTAAATGATTTAGACAGCTACTGTGGCATCCACCTTCACTAGGAACTGAACTGAATTTTCCTAACAGTGACAAACGTTTTCACAGCTGCACTGAAATGACAATAGGTCAGCAAACAGATTTGTTGACACGCGCTGCGTTACCCAGAAACCTTTTCACCAAATACTTCTCTCCTTTCCATGCCTCCCCTTTCTCTTATTCCCAGGATTAGGCAAGAGAAGAAGAGGATGAGCCCAACAAGATGGATAGACTTGGTTACAGTAGCAATGTGTGCATCATTGGAAGACCTGAAAGATGGAGTTAGGAACAGGTCATCATAGAGAAAATGGGACTAGGTGGTTGCTTAAGGCCATAATCTTAATTCTAATTCTTGTCCCAACATAACGAAGATTCTTTGAGCTGAGTTTGACTTGTGGTGGATTCATAAATCCATCCATGCAGGATTCTTAGAACAATGTGGAAGGGATTTCCTGTACACCAATGGCAGAGCTCCAAATAACATCTTTACGGCATATTATGGGGGAGATCTAACTTTCTTGAGAAGTCTGTAATACTGGGAAAGATGGAAGGAAAGAGGTGATGATGATGACCAGCAGCAAGATGGATGGACTCCATTACAGAAGTTGATAGGTACACCTTTGGAACACTTGAAGGGCCAGGTCCAGAACAGATCATCCTGGAGAAGATCCATCTGTGTGATCACCACGAATGATCTGACACGATAAGAGCACAACCAACCAACCAACCAACCAATCAAGTTATGGCATGCCACCAAGTCTCATTCAATTGGAGTATTTATAAATATTGCAAACAAAGAAAGAAACATTCCCACCATTCAATGGCTGGGTATTTATTATTCAATTATTTCCTCTTAGCACCTGCCCACCCCAAAACTTCTGCTTTTAACAGCTCCTTCCTTCTTCTTCAAACACACAACTGTGACTTGTGTGGCTTTCCTTCAGAAGCTGTGTCTCAGGGGTCTATGACAATTTGCCATGGCCAACTCACAATGGTCAACTTGCTGCAGCCAACTCACTGCGAGAGAACTTGCCACAGCAGAACAACTTGCTGCAGGACAAGAGTTGCACTAATATCAAAGAAATTGTGGAGTAGAATCATTCAAGAAAGGATGCAAAAGGAAGGGACAGAAATTAAATTATTATTTTATTTATTTTAAATAAATGAATTGTGAAATTACACCATGGCCAGTTGGCCCACGATGAGTTGGCCTGCGATGAGTTGGCTGTGGCGAGTGGTCCCATTCTGGTGTCCTCAGTGCTATGGATGACACACACAGAAGAGACTTCAGCTGAGTCTGAAACACCAGATCTGAAGTGTCTCTTATTGCACAGACAAAGACTAAACTGTATCCTTCTGAAAATCAAAGAACAAAGAACAATGCCATAAACCTTTGAACTCTCTCTACGGAAATCAAGTAGCTGTTCATATAGGCTAGACTGCTGCACTTGGGAGGCAGGAAGTAACTGTAGATCGGCATGCTCATAAAAGTGGAAGCAAGCTGGAATTGCTCAAAGAGGTGGATGAAGGGATGGGATCCAAATCTAATGGCCGCAACTTGTGCTTTCTGCTTAGGAGTTGGACAAGCCTTGTAAAGTACCAAGGGAACAAGATCCATCCTTCAGTTGGTGCACTGCATATATATATAGAAACAGTAGAGCAAAATTCCTTTAGAGGTATGGTTTTAACAATATATTTTGGATACATTATGTGGATTCTAGCTTTTTGGAAAAGCCTCCAATGCTGAGAAAGGTAAAAGTAAGAAAGATCATATGTAGGAAATGACTAGACTTAGCCTGAGGGAGGGGTCAAATGCATAATCAGTCTTGAATCTCTTCATGCACACAAGAGATCTAAGTCCAGCCCACTTTGAATTCCATGGACTCTTGTCTACCATCTATTTGCTTTGAGCATTAGTAATTCAGATTCTTATACAGAGCTTAAGTTAGCAATCAACCTATATATTCATCTGAACTGCCCGACTCCTGATTTCCTGGGCTTGACATGATGAACTATCATAGTGGGAGCTACAAGGATCCCAGGGAGGATCCTAATCTGTGGCATATGGTCATCCAAGGACAAACCCACATCCCACACACAAAACATCGCTGGTGAGATTTAAATTGCTTATATTTATTAATTGTTATGTTCAGCAATAACTCAATACTGTCTATCTTGTATTTGGTTCTCACTGTATGTATCCCTATTTTCCTCAGTTTCACCATATCCTGTTCTTTCAATAAAGCATTCAGATCTATGCACACAGTCTGTTTTATTGGAGGATAGGTGGGTTTGGCTGTATGTTGAGCTGCACACAGATTAATGTGTAGTGAGGACAGAACATTATTAATTAGAATCTATGACTAACATCTCCGAAACACCATTATCTTCTTAACTGCATCTCAGTAAATTATTTTGATGGACCCAAGAGAGTTGTCACCAAAGATTATATATTTCTGCAACCACCTTAAAAAAGAAGAAAAATTCAATGCAATCCGTAAAGCATTTGTATTCATGAAGACAACCACTAGCTAGGACCATGGCAAGAGTTATTTCTTGGTTGAGTGCATCTTTTTCCATGTCCACAGAATAATGAGAGCAATAATAATATGATTTCAGAACAATGTTCTTGCAAGTTCAGGTATTTATCACGGAACCATAGTAACACAGTTGACCAACCTCAGATGATTTCAAAAAAGCTAAGTGGAGTCAGCTCTGCTTAGTACATGGAAATACCAGAGCTGTAAGCAAGACTGGATTTTAAAAAAAAATACCAGGAGTATGAATCACTTGGAGTCAAATTCGACTTTAAAAAGTTGTTATTGTTTAACATGCCACAATAAGATTCAAATTCCTTGCTATAAAAACAGAGCACAAGATCCTATTCACATTTGTTTACTAGGAACAAGCTATAAAAATAATAACACCCAGGACCAAAATATACTGGAAATCATACATTGTAATGATGAAGCATCTGAGTAGGGACTTCAGATGGTTGACCATCTCTGGTCCAAGAAGTAAAGGAAAGCCAGAGATGGTTCATACTTGGATAAAGCACCAGCTAGGAAATCCCAGGGCTGGAAGTCAGATTTAGAGGTTTTGTTTTTTGCCTTGAAAACATTTCGCTTCTCATTCCAAGAAGCTTATTGGAATTCAGAACTTCCTGCGGATGATCTCGCAAGAAGGCAAGGCCAACCATGGCTGATAAAATGAAAACAACATCTCCATGAAATCATAAGGAGGCAAGCTCAGGTTAGGTGAGTCTTTACTTTCTCAGTGGCCAAGGTGAAACACACACACACAAACGCGGACAGACAGACAAAGTAGGGACTTACCCAGAAGATGATGTTGTAGCTGAAGAGGAGATATTTATACCAACAGCTGATTTCAGCAGAAGGATACCGGTAATAGTGCATCTTTTAGAGGGCAGCAGCTGTGCAGAAGCAGGGCAAGAGAATTGCTGGTTAGCAAGACAGAAGTCATTGGATTCAGCTAATGTAGCTACTGTTGACTGTGAAGCTGACATATGTGTAGCCATGTGTTATTGTAAAGGTAAAGGTTCCCCTTACACATGTGTGCTAGTCATTTCCGGCTCTAGGGGGTGGTGCTCATCTCTGTTACAAAGCCGAAGAGCCAGCGCTGTCCAAAGACATCTCTGTGGTCATGTGGCCGGCATGACTAAACGCCTTCGAAGGCACACGTAACCCTGTTGCTTTCCTACCAAAGAGGTCTCTATTTTTCTATTTGCATTTTTTATGTGCTTTCGAACTGCTAGGTTGGCAGAAGCTGGGACAAATAACGGGAGTTCACTCCGTGACGCGGCACTAGGGATTCGAACCACTGAACTGCCGACTTTTCTGACCGACAAACTCGACGTCTTAGCCACTGAGTTACCCTTATGTTTTATTGTAGCCTTTGTCTATTCTTCTTAACTTTCTTTGGGGTTCCTGCAAAGGGGTTTAAGGGTGCTTCAGGCTCATCACCTTCTAGCAGCAGGAAAGGGGGGTTGTAGAGATAAGGGGGGATGTTGTAACTAGTTGGCATTCCTTCCCATGGGAACTGAGAAGGTGCCTGAAGCTGGTGGAAGATGAAGCTTGGGAGTCATTGGACTGATGGACGGTGTGCTGATTGGAGAATGTGACTCTGGGGGGAAGTTTCAAACTTTTGCTTTTACTGGGTGTAATTTTGGGCTCTGGTCAGAGTTGGAGTCACACCAAGACCTTGCTAATTTTATATGCTTCTAATAAACAGACTTTGATGAAAAATGGACGCCTTTGATTTTTATTCTGGGGACATATTACTTGGAACCTTGACAGCTATCCAAATAAGAGCAGTGCAGTGGCCTAGTGGTGAAAATGCTCACCTCCCCACTTGGAAGGTTGAGAGTTCAATCTGAGGTAGCAGCAGATATTTCTTCCCTAGGTGTGAAGAAAAAATATCTGTTGTGAACTTCAGGTAGGTGTCAGGAAGGGCAGCTGGTTAGTAAATGCTCAGATACATCCAGTGTACTTGACTCTATCCCAGATTAAGGTTTAGGGAGCCATAAAAGGATGTTTTATGTAGCTATCCAAAAAGGTTCAAATTAGTCGCATGTGCCCCAAAGAAATCTTTAGAGCACTGCAGTCGAAAGCAAATTCCAAGGGGTCAAATTTATATATGAAGTTTGAATGGTGCACCAGAGACCTTTTTGCCTTCGTTCTACATTTTTGGGTGGACGGGAGAACCTATATCCTTCTATATGAAGATGTTAGAAAGAAAAGAAAAGAAAAGAAAAGAAAAGAAAAGAAAAGAAAAGAAAAGAAAAGAAAAGAAA